CTTGGTCAAGAGGTTTTTGTTCTTGTCTGTTTTTCCCACAGACGGCGCCAATTGTACGGGGAGGAAATAATTCTCCTCGTATAATCCTGTTGACCAAGTCCACGCTTCTCCGTACGACGTCGCTTTGTCACCTGAAAACACAAACGTGAGCTAGCCGGCGGGTGTGTGCCGGAAACCTCTCCGATGCCTAAGTCAGAAAACTTGACAAATAGACAAAGCTCAATGTGTTCAGAAAACAAAATTGTATGTGGTGTTATGTTACCTCCTCCAAGGTGATGCTTGTGAGCTTTTATAGGTTTCGAGTGGCATAATCCTAGTAGGACTTTTATTTCTCCATGCAGAGTCCTCCTAGGATTCATATTCCTAAAGGATAATGCTTACCCTTTTACACCCCCCCACTGCTTAAACCAAGTGGGATGGTTTTTACTTTGGCCGAATTACCATATGACCGAAATAATACTGGCTATACCGAGCCACGGAGTAGGCCGTACTAACAGTAGTTCGGTTCTTCTTCTTTCTACATCATATTTCGGTTCTCTTTATGCACGAACCATGGTGTGGTTGGACCGGTCTACCGAGTAGCAACATTCCGACCGACCTACCCAGAATACATCATGGCCAGACTATCTCCGAGACCGACCTTACTAGAAAAGTTGTACGGACCGGAGTAACTTAACATCTCTATTGGGCCGGAGTAACTTTTACATTTCCATTGGGCCTTTTTATCCAGTCCTTCGTACTTTGGGTCATAAAGTCCATCTCTGTAGCTCGGCCCAATTTTTACCAAAAATTACCCTCTCACCGGTCATAACTGTATGAACATTAACAACCCATGAAACTAATAGTTCCATAATTTCGACTCATCAGCCCTGTGCCAGTTGGATTGGTTGGTGCGAAGAACCAAGGCGAGACAACCAAAACTATGCGTCACCCAGAGACGAAATTGTCATGCAATTGCGAACTGATGTCATAGACATTCAACAATCCTTGCGTGTCCTTAAGACCATTGTGTATGTGCTATGCATTGTCGTTGTGATTTTGTTGTGCCGTATGTAAGCAACGTTACGATGTTGTCAGTATGTAGAAACACGTTGTATGTTGTCAGTATGTTGTCACTATGTCAGTATGTTGTCAGTATGTTGTTAGTATGTTAGTAGTATGGTTTAGTATGACTTTAAGCTGTCTTTGCCTTCCTCCACTTCGACACGGTAGACGTATTAATAACTATCATAACTATGTCCACTACTAACTTCCATGGAACCTGTGTACGTATGTTATTAATGTGCCATGGTTATATGCTGGCTAATTTACTGTTGTTCTCTCTGTTTGATGTTATTAATGTGTAATGGCTTATACGTGTATATATAACAACCGAATTTGTGATGGTAATTTTTTGTAACCGTACATTAGTAATGGCTTCCACACGTACTTCTCCGCGTAACCAATCGAAAAGCAAAGGCGTTGTCACTGACAAGTCAAGCAATCTTGAAGAGACATATAATCAGTTCAGCCACAAGGCCTCATGGGACAGTAACTCAATCCGAGTTTTCCTGCAGTTGATTGCAAATGAGATTACTAAAGGAAATTGCCATTCCTAGTCCTCAGCCAAGCAGGGTACAAGTCGTTGGCAAGGAAATTTGAGAAAAAAACAAGAAGAAAACATAGACTGAAACAGTTGAAGAATAAGTACATGAGCTTGAAAAAAGAGTGGCAAGCGTGGACAAAGTTGATGGATTCAAGCAAAGGAGTGTCCGGGATAGGCTTTGACTGTGACACCGGTATGTTTCAGGCACCTGAGGAGTGGTGGGACAAGATGGAATCAGTAAGTACATGTACAAATAAGTTTCATATTTGTCATTTACCAGTACATTTTTTACTTGTTCAGTTAACTTTTAATTAATTATATGAAATGTAACGTCTTCCTTTTTCATATATCTCTATTTCTGCAGATCAACAAGGTGTGTGCCAAGTTCAGAAAAAAAACCTTGGAACATCGTGAGTTGATGGAGACGGTCTTCATGGGAGCATTAGCTATTGGGAAGCACCATTGGACCCAGGGAGAGAAACTTCCTGAAGCTGCTGATGACTCATCTGATTGAGTGCATAGTTTGGGAGCCCAGCCATTTGCTGATCCGATACCCGCAGGAGTACAGGACGTGGATTCAGATTCTTCACTGGAGCATGTTCCGATTGAAAAGGGAAAAAGGAGAAAGACACCATCAACAAGTGTTTCAAAGTTGAAGAAGGCAACAAGTGGAGTGTCAGTTATTGCGGAAAGCATGAACAATCTGACAGATGTGGTGCATATGAAGAATCAACAGGCTACGGTGAGGCACCTCACAGGCAACGAATCGCTGTACACTATTTCGGAGTGCATGCATAAACTGAGCAGTATTCCATCCCTGATTGGTACGCCGTTATTCCATTTCGCCTCGACACTCATGGATAACGCCGATTGCCGGGAGGTGATGATGTGCCAGCCTGATGACTACCACATCATTGGATGGCTTACACAGAAGCAGCTCCATTTTACTGCGTCGGCGCCTTTTGCAAACCTGTTTGGGGGTCGCCGGATGTGATGTAGCGGTGTTACGAGTGTTGAAGATGACTGTCCTTGTCTTCCTTTTTAAAACTTTGACTTATGGTATTGTTGGCACTGTATTAAAACAGGATGGTGGTGTGTGCATGTTTTTATTCCGTCGTTTTTGTCTTTTTTCTTGCTAGCTATGGTCACCAAAGCTTTTAGTTAAGTGCATGGGTTGACGGAACAGAAGCATGGTTGTGCTTCATTTTTGGGAAATGAATGGGATGCTTATGTTTTAATATTTTGTGTGGTTATTTCTTAGACAGGGAATTACGTTTTTCTTGCTAGCTTTGGAATGCCTGTATCTTACAACTTTAATTGTTAGTTTAGTTTGCTGGCTATTTTTGTGGTTGTTACCACTATGGTCCCCCTGTAAAGCTTTTGTTGAACATGTTTTCTTTTTTGTGCAATTCATATGATTATGCGTTCCTAATGACATTGGTGACGACATTACTTACATTAAAAACAATGTCGGCTTTTTCTAATTGCAAACTTCAATATAATTTGGGTCAATGAATCACGTGCCAACTGATTGAAAGAGTGCCACTCTTGTAGGTTTTGTATCAACGAAGACGCGATGAATCCGTGGGATGGAAGCAACAATGATGAAATAACGGAAATGCTTAATCAAATGGCGGTCCAGGTGCAACAAGAACACAACTGTACATTTGTACATGCATGCTAGTATGTGACATAATGGTACGAAAAACACATGGATAAAACGCCGTGTCGCACTTCTATACTGACCGGGAATGCATAGATATGCGAACTATATACGGGTCATATGGGTCGATTTGAGGAAAATGTTTGTATGCCGAAGGAAGTTTTTGCCGCATTGTGTGAGACATTAGTAAATGATTTTGGGTTACAAGTCCCGCAACGTCCACATGGCTTAGCTGTTGAAGAAAGCATTACAATGTTTATCCATGTGTTGAAAGGGAAGCAAAATTGGGAAATCCAAGAACGGTTCCAACATTCTGGGGAGACTGTGTCTCGGCACGTGCATAACGTATTAACTTCCATGAAAGAGTTCACTGTTGTTCATTGTCGGCCCACATACAGTCAGCATCGTATACATCCATACGTGCGGTCTAGACGGAAATACCTACCGTTCAAGGTACTCCTGAAAAACATTATTGACATATAAATAAAGACTGTCAGTTATTTTGTTTTTATTATTAACTGGACGTGACGTATGGAAAAAACCAAACACTTGTTCCCATTTACGCAACAAAACAATTGGGTTGTTTGCAGGACTGCATTGGCGCAATAGACGGAACACATGTAAGTGCATGGGTTACGGGGCTAGATGCGGCAACATATTTCGGCAGGAAATACTGTCACACGCAAAATATCATGGCCGCTGTCGATTTTGACATGTGTTTCATATTCATTTCGTGTGGATGGGAAGGAAGTATGCATGATAGTCGCATATTCAACGAGATACTAACAAATGACAATGTCCCCTTCCCATATCCTGACGAAGGTAACACATGGCGATGTTATTAGATGTAGGGGGCTATAAATTTTTTCTGAAACCGCGTTACTTGAAGATGACGCACAATGTTCGGTTTTGGTGTCATACATTGTTGTCATGTCTGCAGGCAAATATTATCTTGTCGATTCTGGCTATCCAAACCGGATAGGTTACTTAGCACCATTCAAAGGCCACCGTTACCACCAACAAGAATTCCGATGTATTGCACGGAACACGACGACGAACACGCCAAGGAAATTATTTAACAAAGTGCACTCGTCCTTACGCAGTGTGGTGGAACGCACTTTCGGTGCCTAGAAAAATTGATAGGGGTTTATTCGAGACATGCCTCAGTATGACTTTGCAAATGTGCAAGTTCAGTTAGTAGGTGCGTCAATGACATTACATAATTATATACGGCGAAACACAGGTAATCCAACAACTGTTCACCCAATCTGTGATGAGGAAGAGGCTATGACAATAGTAAATGCCATACCAGAAGTTGAACATGACGAGGATGACTTAATGGTTGGGGACGAAGACCCCCATATGGCATTTGTGCGCCTTCACATACGCGACAAATTATGTTACATGCGTAATAACGGAATGTTAGGAAATATATAATAGTCGAATTAATTTTCGTATGGTTGTAGCATTATTAATGACACACGTGGAACAGACTGTATTCAAATATATTATCATGTACAATATGTATGAGTTTCCATGGGAATGTAGCCCCTTCCAGTTGGTGACGTGCCTAACTTTGAAAAACCAAAATCCACAGAATTTTTTTTTTTCGAAAAACAAAAAAGGTGAAACAAATAACAAAAAATAAAAAAGAAAACTAATACAGAAATTGTCATGTGCGGCGTCAATTAAAAACATAAAAATAGAAGTTGAAAACAACAAGAAAACCAAAACAGACCCTCATTTTTTGTCATGTGCCACGACAATATATGATTTTTCACTATATTTTGAATAAATGACATAAAAAAACGTTTTTCCAAACAAAAAAACCAACCGAAATTAGCATTTGCCACGTAATTTACAAATAAATAAAACAGATGAAAACTTATTTGTCAAATATAAAAACAAATTACTGTATACAAATGTAAAAAATTTACGGAAACGTAAATTAAAAAAAAAAGAACGACAAACATAGGCCTCATCCAAAAAAAAGGAAAAAAAAAAGAAAAAAACAGAAATTACCACTTGCCACGTCATTTACAAATAAATAAAACGAGAGAAAATCCATTTTTTTAATATAAAAACAAATTAATGTGAATGAATAAGACAATGACAAAATCATAAATTTTGAAAAAATAACGACAAAATTACGCCACATTCAAAGACATTTTAAAAAAAAAACATGAAAACATAAATTACCATTCGCGACGTAATTTACAAGTAAATGAAACACATAAATAAATAAAAAAATTTATTGTATACCAATAAAAATAAAGAACAAGAACTAATTAATGTAAGAAAACAACAAAAAAAAGACAAAAACATAAATTTAAAAAAAAAATCGAAAAATTTAAGCACAATACGCCAAATCCAAACCCAAAATAAAAAAAAAAGTAACAGAAAAAAAAATTAAGCAAAATACGCCAAATCCAACCCAAAATTAAAAAATTAAAAGAAAAAAAAATTAAAGCAAAATACGCCAAAATCCAAACCCAAAATAAATAAAAAAAATTAAAAAATTAAAAAATTAAAGCAAAATTCGTCAGATCGAAACCCAACATAAATAATAATAATAATAATAAAGAAAAAAATGCCAAATCCACACCGAGAAAAAAAAAAGAGCAAAATACGCCAAATCGAAACCCAACATAAAAAAAAATAAAAATAAAAATAACCAAAATATGCCAAATCCAAATGAAAAAAAAAAAAATTAAGCAAAATATGCCAAATCCAAACTCAAAATAAAAAATTAAAAAAAAAATGCAAAAATGACAGTTTGATAATTTAACAGGAAGACACCTCACTAAAAAGCCAAAAAGTATCTTTCCAAACCATACTATTTAATCCCAAATTAAAATAATCAAAAAAATTAAAAAATCAAAAAACCAACCCACTCTCAAAACAGAGGCTTTGTATATATCAATGGTTTAGCAACAGTGCCGAGCTATATGGATTGGGCTATTCATCATTATGTCTTTCTCTCATGCTGAGTCTACACAATTTTTCTGAATTTTTAAACCGTCTATAGGCACTTTCTTATTAGTTGCTCAATGAGGTAGTCTCATTTCTAACATTAAAAACAACCAATGGACTTAAAATGTATTATTCACAAACTTATTTAGTGCAAATTTACATTCTCTTCGTTAGATCACTGTACGGGGAGCAAATATTCCGGCGAGCCCGTACTCTTTTCTTCCGAGCTCCGTCTCTGTCTGATCACCTGCGAGCCAATAAGGGTGAGCTACCCGGCGGTGTGTGGCCGGAAAAACCCTCCGACGATCAAGTTAGAACACACACGTAGAGGATAGCTAGAGAGAAGGGAGAGAGAGTTTGGGTGTAAGAATTCCTTACAGAGATGTTCGTGTGTTGCGTATGGGGGGCGCAGACATGCTTATATACCTTCTGAGCCCCATATCTATTCCCAGTCATCTCCTGTCACGTGGCTCTACTATCCCATCTGTCAGCATAAACCATGCCATTCATCACCTAACCTCAACTGCCTGTCATCACAGCTGGAGCTCGGCAGCCGAGCTGCTCTACCTCGGTCATGCCATGCTTCATACTTCAAGCGCCTAACCGGATAAACACACGGAGGACCGGGCTAGGCGGCATCCCGGCTGAGCCTACCCCGGATACTTTGATCGGCCTTCCTGTCGGTCAAACAGTCTCCTCGGCTGACCATGCCTTTCCGGGCATCGGTCACTCAACTTCCTCGGTTGCCCACGCCTTCCCGGGCGCCGGTCACTCGGCCAATCGAGCTTTGGCCATCTTCGGACCGAGCATCCTGGTCCGACCGAGCACTGCCTTACCGAGCAGTTTCTGTCCGGTTCGGGGTGACACACTCAGCCCGAACTCTGCCCGGCCCAAGTCTGGGCAGAAAGTCGATCATCTCGGACCCACGCATCGTTGGGCCCTCAACTTGCTCGGCCGTTACCTCGGCCCAACTCTAGATCACAAATCACCCTCTCAATCACAAAATACTGTGATTCACAAATCAAAAATTAAATGATTTAAAACATCATAATACATTTTTAAAGGGTTAGGGTGAGGACTAAAATCCCTCGTTGAGCATGACTTCACCCAATTAACTCAAATAGTCAATTGCTTTGTTATAAAAAATTATTTAGTAAGTTCATCTCGTATTTTATATGATGTGTCATTTTAAATGTAAAGTAAAACATTTATTTCTTTTTTTTTTTTCATTTATATTTTAAACAATAATATGTATCTTTTAAAGTTAACATACAATTACCTAATAGGTCAAACTTATAATATAAATTTTGAGTTGGTCGTTAGTGAGCAATTAGTTCACACCATACAATTAAAAAGCCTTGCACGAATCTTCTTTTAAGAACATATGATTAGTGTGACTAATCTTGTTATGCTTATACCCAAAATACCTAAAATGTCATTTTGTCAAACTTTTCCAAGTGTTTCCCGGAAAATATTTAGCTCAAATAATTCACGGCTTTCACATGGATATTTTGGTCAACCAATATTTTTGCACGTTGCTGGATTATTTTGGGACGAGAATTTGATAGCTGCTTGTTGATTTGTCCACCACCTTATGTCTGACTCCTTGTGTTGTTTTGCCACACATCTTTCAATTTGAATATCTAATTATTTAAGTAAGTTTAATAATATATTATTATAAAAGGTACAACAAATGTAAAAGTCATACAAGGCTTAAATAATGGTTTTTTTTTTCTTAAAAAAAGGAAAATACTATTCAGTGCACCTGTTGAAAATAAATTACAGAAGTGATTGAGATCCCCTCCAATCATCACCTTCACTACCTCCACACACACGTGGAGGCTGGTGATTGGAAGAAGAGGAGAAAAAAAAAAATTGGCCAATCACAGACAGAGGGGGCCGTGGGATGCCCCTATAGGGGTTCAAGTCACTTTTCAATAAATTATCCATAAATAGTGAAGTTTATATTTAGTCCACCGCCTTATTTCTGATTCACAAAAATGCTTTAGAACTCTAATATAAGAGCTCTAATAGTTCTAATGGGAAGGTGGAACCCACCCTGATGTGATGTTTATGCCTTGTTTTGTTTTGTTTTGTTTTTTTTTTTTTTTTTACTTTGACACATCACTAGAGCTCAAATTAGAGCTCTAAATTTAGAGCTCTCTAACATTTCCCTTCTGATTCGTTGTGTTGTTTTGCCACACATCTTTCAATTTGAATATCTAATTATTTAAGTAAGTTTAATAATATATTATTATAAAAAGTACAACAAATGTAAAAGACATACAAGAAATGGCTTATTTAGTCACAAAAGACAAAATAGGTTATTTTATTCATAAAAAATAAAATCTCACATCTAACTTATAATTATTACATTCTTCTCTTACAAAAAAAGTCAAAAAAGTCAAAAAGTCCTTTCCAAACCAAACTTTTTAGCTCAGGCTAAAATAGTCAAAAAAGTTAAAAAGCCAACCCACTTCCCAAACGGAGGCTATACTGGTTTTTTTTTTGAGAAAATACTATGCAAATGCAGTGTATATGTAGAAAATAAATTACCCATAAATAGTAATGTTTATATATATTAATAAATAAATTTCTAATTTTTTTTTTTATGTATTTTCAAAACTCATTGGATTGTAATTATCCATTTTTTATTTTTATTTTTAGTTTATTTAGAAACTCAAAAAATAATGTTTGGTTTGCATTTCTAAAATTATTTTTTGCGTAAATTACACTTTACACTTTTTATGTTTGGTCATTTTTTTTTTTTATTTTAGCTCTCAAAATTTGTTTTTTTCCACTTGGACTTTTCATATTTCAAATATTTCTTAGTTTACTCTTAAAACTAATTTTTGTTAAAAATTAGACAAAAAAATAACATATTGATAGTCATATGATATAAAAATATTTCATTATATATCACTCACATATCTAACATAAACTTAAACCCCAATATAATAATATATTTTTATAATAATAATAACAATATGTTTTTAATGTTATGTTACAGTTATTATGACATTTTTTGTTTAATTTTGAACAGAAGTTATCTTTAGTAATAAATTGGGAAAAACTTAAAATATAAAGAGTCAAAATGAGAAAAATAAACTTTAAGGGGGGGAGGAAAAATGATCATACATAAAAGGTTAAAGTATAATTTATCCTGATTTAAAAAAAAATAGAAATTAATAAGGTAGATTACAAATACATCTATTGAGACTTGCTTTTAATAAAAATTACCCTTGTAGTTTTGAAAATTACAAATACTCTCTTGTTAGAATTTTTTATTTAACAAAATTAACTAAAAAAAATAAAATTTATAATTACTCTCATGTACAATGATAAAATTACTTGAATTATTAATTAAAATAAATTTATGACATTATTAAAAACTATTAATTAATTTGATAATTTATTAATAAAACATGTCATTTGTTATAAAATTAAAAATTTTAGAAGATAGGATATAATATGTAAAATCATGGGAGAGGGAGACAAATCGTATTTTAAGCCAATGGGGTGTATTTATAATTTATTCAATTTAATAAATATTTTTTAAAATTAAAAAAATTACTTTTACCATAAAAAAAATTATATAAAAAAAATATTTTTTATTTTTTTCACAACTATTTTTATTTTTTTAAATGTAGTTTTTTGAAACAATCAAACAGGACAAACGTTTGTTTTATCGTGCGCATCTGGCACAGGGTGGCTTTATTTGACTTCCCATGCCTTGTCTCCTCCCAGCGCAGTGAAGCTGCTAGATAGATTAATCAAATCAGATTCCATTTCACAAACCAAACAAAAGTCAGCCTCTCTGCAGATAACAGAGCTCCAATGAGGTTGTAGATATATATATATATATATATATAGAGAGAGAGAGAGAGAGAGAGAGAGAGAGAGAGAGAGACGGTTTGGGGTCGTGGTGAAGAAAACATGGCACTCCCATCTCAGATTCAAAACGGTGACACAGCACTCGATTCAGGCCATGCTCGCCTCCACCAGCTCGGCTACAAACAAGAACTCAAGCGCGATCTCTCGTAAATTTTACCTCAACATATTTCTTTTTTAAGTTGTGTTTGAATGATGAATTTTTTAGGAATTTGAAAAGAGAAACCAAAGGCTAAAGAATAGAGAAATTTGTTAACTTAAAAAAAGTATATTTCATTCAAATCTTACTAATATTTTTATTTTTATTTTTCAAATCAACAATGCTAGAGGCCACAATTTTGTGGTCACAATTGCTCAAAACTGTTAACATCACGTCGTTTTAGCATGTTTTGTACCCAAAACGATATCGTTTTGATAATTTTAAACCATGACCACAAAAATTGTGACCCTCCGACATTTTCCTTTTCAAATTCACTAGCCAAATCATGACGTAAACAGAGTCTTATAGTTTTAGAGCCTTTTGGGTTAATAATGCTAATGGTCTCTAAGTATATAAATTGTTGCACTTTAGTCCACATTTTTTTAATTGTTCTATTTTAGCCCCCAAATTTTGTAATATGTTACACTTTAGTCACAAAGGTTAGTATGGTTCAAAATTAGTAACAAGACCAGGGTAAGTTTTTTAAATTTTGTAAAAAATTTTGACAAAATCAAAATGATCAAATTCACATACAATCTAAAAGTATGCATTTTGTAGTATTTTGATTTCTAAAACACATGTTTTGTTTAGCTTTAGTCTCCCACGTATGCACTTTATTATATTCTTGGTCCATAATCTTTTAGTTTTGTTATATTTTTTTTTTGTAAAATTATGAAAATTCCCCTCGTCTTGTTATTGATTTTGAATGATATTGATGTTAGAGACTAAATTGTAATAGATTGCATATTTTGGGACCAAAATGGAACAATTAAAAAATTAGGGACTCAAGTGTAATATAACACATACTTTAGGACCATCTGTGAAATTAATTATTTTTTAAATGATTTTTAGGTCAATAAACATTTCTGTGTCTGGGTCTTGTTTGGAATTTTCAGGTTTCTATCAAACTTTGCATTTTCGTTTTCAATCATCTCTGTACTTACCGGTATAACCACACTGTACAATACTGGTCTTAATTATGGAGGCCCTGTTGTACTGGTTTATGGGTGGCTCATTGCTGGTGTCTTCACCATGTTTGTTGGTTTGTCCATGGCTGAGATATGTTCTTCTTACCCAACTTCTGGGGGGCTTTACTATTGGAGTGCCAAGCTTGCCGGCCCAAAATGGGCACCTTTTGCCTCATGGATCACTGGCTGGTAATCATTTTTAGCTCACTTTGTTCCTAATTCAATTTTTATTTTTGTTTTTTATATGTAGGTTTGATGCTCAAACTTGCAATGAACTACTTAATATTTTATACAATTTTGTGAGACCCACACTAGTATTGTTGTTCACTTAAACTTTGTATCCTTACCATGTTTGTAAGTTACGATGATGAGGATAGGCTTAATGTTTTTAAATGAAGGAAGCACAAGGAGTTACATCATTCTATATAATAATTCTGTATAATTTTCCTGTTTATATATCACTACTCATTTTGAAATCATTGCCTAATTGTCTCCTCATCAAAACTGTTGAATACCTCTTTTTTCAATGTATGTGATTAAATAATCATTCATCTTCTGATCTCTTATTTGAATGTGCAATCGATACTTCATAATTTTCATTGTTGAAAAGGCTCTTTCCATTCTTATAGTCCCCATTGATAAAAGTAAGGAGGCAAACCCTTTGCTAGGTACCCAAACAAGTAAGACTGAAATTTTCTAAAATTTCGTTTCGACTCTTTGCACTGGGTTCAATTTTTTTGTAAATCAGCAGGGTCAGTTTTACTTGAAAATATAAGTACATTTATTTTTCAATGGTCTTTTAAAGTCTAGAGGGGTCAATTGACACCAGAAGGGTGTATGTGGTGGCACTTCCTATCTTAACTTCTTTCGTCATAATCCAACACCTTCTTACATTTACAACTGCAAACTTAGTGATAACAACTTTCTAACTGGTAGCCAAAACAGAGGAATCAGTAGGTGGTACCAAAATATTTTCATGTTGTTTCTCATTTGTTTTAAAAGTTCTGAAAACAATGGGTGTTTTTATAACTGCTCATTTGCTACACTCCTGTCTTAAATGTTTTTGTGCCTCTTGAAGCTGAGCTTCACATTGGTTGAGCTTTGTTTGTTATGTAATTGAGCTTGAAATAGAATTCTCAGTTCAGGGTGAGGACCGTTTAGGTGGTGAACTTGCCTGACTAAGCTTCTTAGCTGGCCAGGCTTGATTCTCTATGGGCAGCTAGGTTTCTATCTAGGCCTTAGTTTTCTGAACTCCAGCAATAGTACTGCCTACAAATTGAACTTTTCGAAACCAATGGTACCAAAAAAATCATTGATATATCAGCAACTAGAATGTGAGATCCAACACCGTTGGACACTCACTCAAGAAAACAGTTTTTATCAGTCAAGAATATTTTCTTATTTCCTCCTTTACGAATTCATTATAAAAAATTGATGAATTAAATTTAAACTGTGACCAAGCCTATACAAGAAAAAGTAACCTAACCTTACGGATTAATTAGGTATAACTGGTTTCTTATTTACTATCATGGTAATCCTCCACAAATCTTGAGCTACTATTTTTGGAAAATGCATTTGTAAGATGTAGATTGCTCTTAACTAGCTTTTGCATTTGTGAAAAGGGAAAGCTTTTTCAGTATTACGTTGGCTAAGCATTAATGTAAACACATCGAATTGATATTCTTGTAATACATATTCTGATGCTCGGTAAAATTATATCTTTTCCTTGTAGGTTCAACATTGTTGGTCAGGTATTTCTGAAAATTTTCCTGTTGTGAAGCTTGAAAATCTTCAATATCTACTCCAAGGTCCAGCTTCTTCTTGTCTGTTCGCCTCTATTATGTATACTAATCACTAAATTTACCTTTCTATGCAGTGGGCTGTTACAACAAGTATAGATTTCTCGCTTGCACAGCTGATTCAGGTGATTATTCTCCTTAGCACAGGTGGGAAAAATGGCGGTGGATATGAGGCCTCTAAATATGTAGTTATTGTCATACATGGTGGAATTTTGCTCCTACATGCTTTCATAAACAGTCTTCCTATCTCTTGGATGTCCTTATTTGGGCAGCTAGCAGCTGGCTGGAATCTTGTAGGTATGCAGAGTATTGCTACCCTTTCTTGCTGTTCCCTCTGGCCGAGTTTGGATTATGGATTTGGGTAGGGATTTGGAAAGCGAAAAGAAAAGCTAAAATTTATCTCTATTTATCACCTTTTCCTTTCGCTTTCCAAATTTCTACCAAAATCCATGATCCAAACACAACCTTATATTGCTTAACATCCTTTGTGCACCTTACAATGGATTTTGGTATTTTTAGGTGTTTTTGTTCTTATGATTCTTGTTCCCGTGGTTGCGAAAGAAAAGGCTAGCGCCAAGTTTGTCTTCACTTTTTTCAACACGGATAATAGTGATGGAATCAGCAGTAAAGTCTATATATTTGTCCTGGGACTCCTAATGAGCCAGTATACCTTAACTGGGTATGATGCATCTGCTCATATGGTAAGTTCTGTTTTCTTGTTTACTGCCATCTTAAATACTGTTGCAGCTTTGGATAGTTGTAACTTTGTAAGATAGTCTCAAAGCTTGACTTGTCTGACAAATGTGGAAGTCCTCATTTGGTTAACTGATTAATTTTGGCTATTTAAATGAGGAAAAAAAAAAAAAAGGATTAATTGAGTCCAAATAATCTAAACCAAATGAGCATCTTTACGAGGTTCATCCCTTTTATTCTAATAATTGGAGAACTGAAAGAACTTTGCTAATTTTGTTTTCTTCAGTAGCAAATTGAGTGATGCTAGGATTTTTATTTATTTTTTGACGTTGAAATCAAGGGGATGATACTAGGGATATTCAGCTTCATTGGTTCTGCTAGTCCTGTCTTGACAAATGACTTTTTCACAACTGGAACATAATTCTTCTTGCAAAAATGACTAATATCATCTAATCTAACCCTAATCTAATCAATCAACTATAACATTTCTATTATGTCAATTTCATTTTACAATCTATATATTGTCTATTAGTTACTGTCTAGTATTTTCTTTTGTTTGATTCATATTTAATCAAATGACTGAAACAAAGCCATACTATTGCCTCTAAACTCTCTTTCAGACAGAGGAAACAAAAAATGCTGATAGGAATGGACCAAAGGGAATAATTAGTGCCATTGGAATATCTGTAGTTGTTGGATGGGGTTACCTGCTAGGTATCACCTTTGCAGTGACCAACATCCCATACCTTTTGAGTGAGGACAATGATGCTGGTGGTTATGCTATTGCTGAAATATTTTACCTAGCATTCAAGAGTAGATATCACAGTGGTACCGGGGGTATTATTTGCTTGGGGGTGGTTGCTGTTGCCATATTTTTCTGTGGTATGAGCTCAATTACCAGTAACTCAAGGTAAACAATCTTGTTTGTTTATGATTTCTCTTTTTAAGACAAGAAATCCCTTTTGGACCTACTTAAGTTGTTGAATATGGGGACAATTGCATATTAGTAGGACAGTCTAAAAAAAAATTCCTGCACACATGGGAATTTTTTTGGTGCAAGTCTGACACACAGGAAAGGACTTGCACCAAACCACAGTTGCACCTATGAAAATGTTTTTTTTTTTTTTTTTCATTGTGCCACTGATTTGAGATTTTCCATTAAATATTCATTCCCAGGATGGTTTATGCGTTTTCGAGAGATGGAGCCATGCCACTGTCACCAGTTTGGCATAAAGTAAACAAACACGAAGTCCCCTTAAATGCAGTCTGGCTCTCTGCTTTTATAGCATTTTGCATGGCTCTTACGGTATGGACATCTCACTGTTTCTTTATTTATTTATTTTTATCATAACCATCTGTGATGCTATTATGTACGATCATTTCTTGCATCGCATTTGTGCTTTTAGAGTTTTGGGAAAATCACTGACAAAGTTGGTGGAGGCCAAAGAGTTGGAGGACAAACATGGAGATGAAATAATTTCCATATTGTAAACATGTGTAGATTCAAATTTTTTTTCTTTACTGCAAATGGAATGGTTCTCTTCCCTCTTCAATTTATTTATCTTTTCCATTTATGATTTTTGTAGTAAGAAATTAAAAACGAAAAAACCTCTTTTTTGTTGTAATTTTTGTAGTGATGTTTATTTATTTATTTATTTATTTTGTTTCCTTTTTTCATCTCTGTCTCCCTCTCTCTCTAATAAAATGTTGCACATGGGTCTGTCTTCCAAAAAAAGGAAATGAAATGACTGATAAATACTGGAGGAACTTGGTTAAGTTCATGCTAGTTGTTCTGATGTTTGCTATGACACTAATCTGAGCACCTGATCCGACTTCCAAGCAATTTTATTTTTATTTTCTTATTTCTAATGCTAATTCTACCTTCCTCTTTTGTGAATATTTTGCAGTCTCTTGGAAGCTTAGTGGCATTTCAAGCCATGGTATCAATAGCAACAATCGGACTCTACATTGCTTATGCTTTTCCCATCTTCTTTAGGGTGACTCTAGCTCGCAAGTCTTTCATTCCGGGGCCTTTCAACTTGGGCCGCTTTGGGATTCTTGTTGGTTAGATTGCAGTTCTTTGGGTTGCAACCATATCGGTGCTTTTCTCCTTACCAGTGGCCTACCCTATTACCGAACAGACTCTTAATTATACTCCAGTTGCAGTCGGAGGCCTACTCATTCTCACCATTTCTTCTTGGATCTTGAGTGCTCGACACTGGTTTAAGGGTCCCATCACCAACATAGAAAGCTAAGTGGTATGTGAATCTGACAATATTTGTTTCCTAGAAGCACAAATAGTAACATTTTGTTTCATCTCTTCAAATGGTTCATTTTGTTAATGGCTTTTATGTGCTAGTGCGTAATAATGCTCCTGATGATATAAATTGAGGCATAGAACTCTTAACAAAAGAACACCGTTTACTATTCACCACAAACTCGTTTACAATGCAATTCATTTTGGCTTTCTGGTGATTTTGGACTTAGAGAATTATTTCAAACTTATGATTACATTTATGGCAAAGGTTGTTTTGGATGTAATGTAACTGATTAATAAACGACAGGAAAAAGGATAACTTTGGGAATTATGCAGAGGTATGATTAGACTCAACAAATTGATGCAAACTTTTATTAGTTAAAGTGTGCTATATTTTAAGAAACTATAACTGTACATCATCAAATTTTCACATTAAGACTTTAGCTTCTACATTATCAAGTCGATATGCCTGGAACAAAAGCTGCGATGCCTAGAATAGATGTTCTAGAAGAATTCGTAGGTCGTATGTGGGAGGAGACCAGTTGCGATGCCTAGAACAGATGCTTCAGAATGATTCGCAAGTCGTATGGGAGAAGAGAACACCTGCGAAGGACGTATGCAAAGGGAGAAGGCTACATCTACGTGCTAAGTCTGCTGTTGTGACCTAGCTCTGATACCATGATAACAAAGAACATCTATTTTGTATATCTTATTGAATAATGATTTGAGTACAATATATATAACCTAAATGAAATAAACCCTAATAATCTAATAGACTAAACTACCCTAAATAACTAATAGAAAATACAATAATCTTCCCAGATTAGACTCAACAAATTGATGCAAACTTTCATTAGTTAAATTGTGCTATATTTTAAGAAACTATAACGGTACATCATCAAATTTTCACATTAAGACTTTAGCTTCTACATTATCAAATTATAGAGAATCTGCTATTGCAAACTGATGGACGAATGCTATCCCTCTTTAACTCTTGTCAAATTTGGGAGTTGCTTGGTAAAACAGTTCCATTAAACCAAACCATATTTACTCTATTTATATGGAAATTAATTCATTATGATTTTATTTATTTATGTGAAATTTTGTTTTGTGTGTGGTTATAATGGGGCATCAGGCTATTCCTTGCACACATGCTTATTGATAAACTTTAGCAATTGATCATTTTGTCTATAGATTCTACATCAAACCTGTGAAGCCTTGATTCAAACTTTGGATATAACATCATCCAAAAGTGGGGAACTCTTTTTCCACCCATCGGACTCCCAAAGCTTGAAGCTGACATTGCATGTAAGAAAGTGTAAGGTTCAATGTGTCACATATGAAACTACAAGGTGAAGTGAAACTTGGTCCAAACTATAAGAGTATAGAATGTAAATTTACCATTTACTCTTCTTTTTTTATTTTATTTTAGTCAACATAAAATCTTATTTCACAATGTACTGTTGTAATAAATTAGTCCAATTTCCCATTAATGAAGTTAGAAGTTACTTTATGCTGTTAACATAGGTATTTTATATATTGTCAAAGCTCATATAAATTTTGTTTGGGTCATCTTCAATTCTTTGAACTGCAATAATGGGACATGTTATTGAAAAGAGTAATGTTATATACAAATAGATTTCTTACTTGGTTTTCTTAATACAAAAATAATAGAGCTCCCATCAATAAATACATACATTTATGTCTGGTAATAAAAAACAAAGGGTAAAAAATTCATTGATTTATAAAAAGTCACATTGATTTTACCTACTTATAAAAAAAAGTTGTCATATATAAAAACAGAAGAACTGAAATGACTAAGCATCTTTGGAATGGTTACTTTAGGCATAAGGTGGCAATGCGTCTTAAATTCGCAATGTTAGTATTGTTGGAACAATTTTTTGCGTAAAATAATTAAGTTGAAACAAATTAAATAAATAAAAATAAATTACTTACAAAATTTATTTTACCGAAATGAATAAGTACAAAGTTAGATCAAGTCGAGTGTGTGACATTCTGTTCTTAAGATAGATTCGTCTTGTTTCGGTGCTCATGGATAAGTGACGTCTATCTCTCAGGATATAATGATCTTCACAAATTGTAGTAGCACTCCAAACAATTTGTAAGGCGAACCAAATCTGTGTTCTATACTCTCTGAATTTTATTCTAAAACTAGTATAAAGAATAATGATGCAAGAAAGCAAAATAATGGCAACATATGAATTTTTCCCCCAAAAAAACCAAAATGCTGGAAATGGCCAGGTATTTATAGACAATTAGGTGACCATTAGATCTATCCGAACAGGTTCAATTTGACATGAACAGATCTGTTTTTGAATGAATAGGTGCAGTTACTGTTTGAATAGATAACTGCTGCAGTTTCATATCTGTTCATAATTGCTGGGTAGTTTTAAACCTGTTCGAAACTGCTGGACTGTTTTTCAATCTGTTGAACAATTTGAACCTGCTGGAAAATGGACTGAAAAAGGACACTGTTTGGACAGAAAAAATTGGCGCAAAATTTAAATTAACTTTCCCGCAAGAATTTTTAGAAAAAATTCAAATAAATTTTGTCCAAAAAATTAATACTAGAATTGACCTGACCCACAACCCACACCCGGTACGGTAGGTCAGACGGTGTGTCAGACGGCGGTGTGCGCACGTGTGTGGTGGTTTGAGTCAAGGTTCACTTTGTCCATAACTCCTCCCTTCTACAAACTTGGGGTGCCCCTTGGGGTCCAACCCAAGTGTTGTCACCTAGAATTTATATACACACATAAGTTCGTTTAAGTTTCCAATGTGGGATTACCATTTCAAGAAAACTCATATTTACTTCTTTAATTGTCCATTTCACGAACCCGAAAACGACGTCAACTTCTCATTTACTCATAAATGGTTTTGACGAACTGTCTTCACCATGTAACTTGCCATGCGGTAAGGAATACATCACTTTTTTGGACCCACCCCAAAAGATGTGTAGGACCCACTCAAATTTGGGTTCACAGTTGGCCCAAAATAAGCCTATAAAACCATTATTTCCAACAATCCTCCATATGAATGGAATTTGACGGATTTATATATTTGCAATAATTATATTCGTTGATTCTATGTTGCTGATCTATTCTTGGAATATTTTGCACAACAATTCTCAGTAAATTCAGATTTTTTTTTTGTTTTTACTGAATTTAATAAATTTTGAATTAGAATATTCAATTCCCAAATATATTTTTGCATCTCGAATATACAGATATATTTTTTTTTTGTTGGTTATTTTGTTTTGTAATCTTACAATCAAATATAATTTTGTTTATGTTGGCTGTTAGTTTGTGGAAAATATATGGATATATACATATATGTTTGTATATATAGTTATGTCGGTTGGTGGTTTTCTTTTGAAAAGTTGTGTAACTTCTATCAATTGCTTGGTAACTATAACCAAATATATGCTGATAGAATTGATTGATTAATTTTATGATTAAAGTTTAATTGAAAATATTTTGTATACAATTATATATATTGTGAAATTTTCAATTAATTTGTGATTATGATGATGACATCATCAATGGATTTCTTTTGGAGTATTATGAGAAAAATTCTGTTGTTAATCCTTTGGTTAGTGGATCTGCTATGTTGTCTTTAGACTTCACATATTCAATAGAAATAAGTCTCACGGTGTTATGTCAACGACGAATGTGCCGTGACTTACCGTTATACATATGACTCTATACTCTACTTATTGCTGATTGACTATCGCAATGTATGCATATAGTAGACACTAGTTTTGACCACATTAGAATATCTTCAAAGAAGTGGCGAAGTCATTCTGCTTCTTTCCCAGCTTTATCTAAAGTTATGAATTCTAATTCTATAGTACACCTAGCAATGCAAGTCTATTTGGAAGATTTCCAAAATACAGCCGCACCACCAAGTGTAAAAACATACACACTAATGGATTATGAGTCTCTAGTATCTGATATCCAGTTTGCATCACAGTATCCTTCAAGTACTGTTGGATATCTCGTATAATTTAGCCTAATGTTACGAGTAAATCGGAGGTATCTTGGAACCCTTATAATAGCTTTCCAGTGTTCTATTCCTGAATTACTCGTATATCTACTAAATTTACTTATTGCATAGGCTATATCTGGGCGAGTGTAGTTCATCAAGTATATTAAGCTTCTAATAATTTGGGCATACTCTAATTGAGAAATACTTTCCTGTACATTCTTAAAAAGAAACAAATTGACATCCACAGGTGTTCTAGCAAGATGATCATCATCTTTGTTGAATTTGTCAAGTATTTTCTCAATGTAATGTGACTGTAACAGAGCATAACATTTTGATGTTTTGGTAATTTGCATACCAAGAATTACATCAGCAATCCCCATGTCCTTCATGTCAAAATATTTATTCAACATTTTCTTGGTAGTTTTAATCATATCATTATTACTACTTATGATGAGCATATCATCCACATAAAGACATATTATAACATAACCCTCGCTTGTGTTTTTAATATAAATACATTTGTCACACTCATTAATTTTGAATCCATTTGACATCATTGCTATGTCAAATTTCTTATACCATTGCTTTGGTGCTTGTTTCAAGCCATATAATGATTTAACCAATTTACACACTTTCTTTTCTTTTCTTTTGCTGGAATAGAAAATCCTTCTGGTTGTTCCATGTAAATTTTTTCATCTAACTCAACATTTAAGAAAGCAATTTTCACATCTATTTGATGAATTTCTAGATTGTACAAAGATGCAATGGCAATTAGCATTCTAATGGATATTATTCTAGTAATTGGTGAGTATGTGTCAAAGTAATCAAGACCTTCTTTTTGTCTATATTCTTTGACCACAAGTCTTGCCTTGTATTTGTCAATTGTTCCATCCACTTTCATTTTTCTTTTGAAAATCCACTTGTACCCAAAAGGTTTACAACCTGGTGGCAGATCTACTAATTCCCAAATGTGATTTTGCTGCATGGATTCAACTTTGCTGTTTACAGCTTCTTTCTATAAAAGAGCTTCAGGACTGGACATAGCTTCTTTGAAAGTTACATGCTCATTTTCTAACAAAAAAGTTAGAAAACCGAGACCAAAACATTTTGAGGTTCTAACACGTTTACTACGCTTAGGTTCCTCTTCTTTATTTTGATCTATTTCTTGCTCTTATTCTTGATCTTGTTCTCAATTATGACTAGTAATAGCATCATAAGATCTTTTATTGGTACTAGTCTCTTGTCTAGCTTTATTCAGAAATACATGTTCAAAGAAAAATGCATTCCGAGATTCAATAATAGTATTTACATGCATTTTGGAATGTTCTGACTTATGAATCAAAAACCGATATGCACTATTATTCTTAGAAGAACTAATGAATATGCAATCAACTGTTTTAGGACCTTTCTTAGTCTTTTTAGGATTAGGAATAGCCACTTTAGCCAAACACCCCCACACTTATAAGTATTTGTAGGATGGTACTCTCTCATGCCACATTTCATAAGGTGTTTGATTCACTTTTTTCCTAGGTACTTTGTTTAGAATATAATTAGTAGAAAGTATTGCTTCTCCCCACAAGTTCTGAGGTAATGCAAAACTTATTAACATGACATTCATCATTTCTTTTAAAGTCCTATTTTTCCTTTCAGTAACTCCATTTTGCTGAGGTGAGTAAGGAGTGGTGGTTTGATGAATTATTCCATGTTTTTTACAAAATTCACCAAAATGTGATTCATATTCACCACCTCGATCACTTCTAAGTTTTTTAATTTTCTTACCAAGTTGATTTTCAACTTCACTCTTATATTGAATGAAAGTTTCCAAAGCTTCATCCTTGGTTTGAATTAAATAAACATAACTATATCTAGTATAGTCATCTATGAAAGTGATAAAATATTTTTTCCCACCTCTAGTTTCACAAATGTCACTATGAATTAATTCAAGTGGCTCTGTACTTCATTCAATTGAATGAAAAGAAGTTTTGGACAATTTTGACTTAACACAAATTTCACATTTATGATTTGATTTAATGTCAAATTTAGGTAAACATTCTATATTAATTAATCTACGCAAAGATCTATAATTAACATGTTCTAGTCTACCATGCCACAAATTTGAAGACTTAAGCAAGTAAGAAGAAGATGTATTATTATTAACAACAGAGGGTACAATAGTCATTACATTCATTTTGAAAAGGCTATCAAACATGTAACATTTTCTTACATACATCCTGTTTTTGGTAAGTACCAGCTTGCCACTTTCAAAAATCTTAAACCCATTTTTACTCAACAGAGATCCGGAGACTAGATTCTTGCAAATGTCCAGTACATACAGCACATTGTTGAGAGTATGATGACCGGGTATGTTATCTGTCACGTTTCTCTTTGTTTAACCTTGGGTTTGCCTTAGAGTGTTGGGTTTGATCGAGAGTCTAGTTAACGATTTGAGGTTTGTTGCATTTGAAAGCTTTTCTCAAAATCCTTGTCCTTGTTTACTTCCATGTCAAGTTTCATCTTTTTTA